CTTTACAAGATGGCATTCAATGAAAATATTTGCACGACCTAATGCTGATTGCATTAATTAGACTCCTTCATTGCTTTGATTAAATCCCCTCATTGCATTTTACCTTCTATCAAATATGTTAATGTGCACCTTTCCAATGTTCATTAACACATTCTGCTGAAAACAGCCAAACATTCAAGTAGATGAAAACAAAGACTACTGGATTTCTTATTTTGCTCTGTTCATAATATCTGCTGAAAGTGTGGAAAGATTTCTCTTAGATGCTGTTCAATGGTTTGATATTGATTTTCTTAATACTGTCACTTCTTTAATGACTAGCATGACTAGTTTTAGGATGTTTTAAAACCACTCTGAGAGGCAAGCATCCATTACTGTTCCATCTACTTTGCCTTTCTGAAACAGATGTAGTCATGTGGTAAAAATGTTGGCATTACTTGTGATAAATAATGAGTTTTGTTTGACTCCTAGGATTCATTTTTCCCTATAAAATGCTCTTGATGGTTTTGACATAAAACTAAAAGATTCGTCTAAACCCCTGGATTGTAAATTCAATAGAGACACTCCTGTCTCAGAGGACAGGAATGCTTAGTGAAGCCATGTATATGTGCTGAAGGGACATTAACAGAATATAACTCGGATGATCTACAGCAGCTCATTGGAAACTTGGGAAATGAAAACTTGTTTAGAGAAGCTTTCAGTAGGAGAAATGAACATGGCAAACAGGATTACAGTCCCAGACCTACTAAATTCAGTAAGCCAGGTTCTCAGTAACACTGGCAGGAGTAGCTTCTGTTTTCTGATTAGAACGGACACCGAATGAAATTCATCCCTGTGTGAAAAGCCAGCACAACTCTTATGTCCAGTGTATTCTTCTGAAAGCTAAAACCCTTCATTCAGAAATAAAACAGGATTTTGTGCTGACTATCTCCAAATGGATTAATTCCATTGAGTCTTCATGAGTTTTCTTCCCAAAAATCTAAGGAAACAAAATGCATATGTATTAGTCTTTCTGCACTGTAATGCACGTATGGGACAGTATCACAATTGAATTCTTTTTTTCTCCAAAATAAATGGTTTTCTTCCATATTAGAATGATGTATATTATACCAAAGTAAAAATAATAAAAATAAGGCCAGATCAGAGTCAAGATGGGGTCATTGGAAATTTTCTTCATTGATTAGCTTGTCTTTTGTTTAACCCTAACTTGCAAAGAAAGAGAAAAAGATGTTCCTGGGTAACTTCACTGAATAAAGCAGCTATGCGAGTAAGCTCTGTATCTATTTTTGGAAGCATTCACACATGCAGTATTCAGCAGAAAATTCACTGTACAGCATGACTGCAGTTGAGTATCACAGATGAGTAATCTACATCAGGCTGGGCAGAGTCCCAAAGAATTCAGATGTTCACTGTTGCTAATGACCAGGATTTTTTAGCTATCAGCTGTAGGAGAAGCTAAGAGCAGTTTGTACATTGACGAGCTAATTGTTAATTACAGAAATGACTAACTGTGAGGACATTATTATTGTCGTTATGCCCTATAATCAATGACTGACACTGTGCAGCAGGTTCTCTGTTGGGGTAAATGCATCAAACTCCAGTTGTGTTTTGTGTACTTATGTGAGCAGAAAAATTTGCTGTTGCTTTTATAATTTTAGGAGCAATAAAGCTTGGCTGTGGCTGGTGTATGACATTATCTTCCCACTAGAAAAAAACATAATTACTAATCAGCTTGTTAGATCCTGATTAATTCACATGTACATTTTTTACTGCATAAGAGACTCCCGCTGAAGCCATTGGGGACACCTTGTGTGCTTAGGTACATAGGTAAGCAAGTGCTTTTCTGTCACACGGCCTTGAAATAGATAATTGAACCACTGCTTTTCAGTTAGCCTTCATATTTAGGATTTGGAGAGAGAGAGTAGTCTCTGGCGAGGCCCTCCTATGCATGGAAGGCCAGCTAAATCTGCTGTTTGCCTCAGACATCTGACTCAATACCTGGGTGATCAATGCTGTTGGAGGGGAAGATGGGAGGAAGGCTAAGATCTAAGATGACCATCAGTTCAAGAGACAGAGAATAGCACCAAAAATAGAGCGGGGCTCCCCAGCATTCCCCTGCCACAGCAGTGCCTGAGGCCAGAGGGACCCAGAGCTTTGCTGAAGCTGTGGGGAGTGAACCTGGTGGCCATGGGTTTGCTGAAAGACCATTTCTCCCTAGATTCCTATAGCAAAACCAGTATATCTGTGGATGGAGTCCCTGAATCTTCAGATGAATCTACTAAAACTAATCCGATGAATATTCCTTTAGTGTGTTAGTACTACCCTGATCTTATGGCTTGAGAACAGAGGAGAACTGTTTATCTGAGTTGCCTTGAGCTATCGCTGGCATCCGTGTTGCCACTGAGATTGAATCTTCAGGTTCACATTCCTTGTTCAGAGCAGTGGTGCTGTCAGAAAGAATTTGTAGAGTAGGTGTACT